GCTGGTGCATAGTAATTATAACTTCTTAATCTACATCATGATGACAAGGGTTAGTGAAGATCTTCAGTTTATGGGTCATGAGTCAGAGTCATGCACACAATTTAAGGAAAAAACTGTGGCAAAACATACAACATGATGGTATTCCTTTGGCCCACAAATTTAAAGTTTATGTATGAGTGGTAATACCACACAAAACCACTTATGGTAGAGTGCTTTCTAGGCTGCTTGGTACGTGCACGCGCACGCGCACGCGCACACGCACGCACGCAACGCACGCACGCACGCACACACACACACACACATGCAGAGGCCCAGGTGTTTTTGTTAAAACTGTTGTGGCGCACATTATTTCTGGATGTTCAACTTCTTATCACACTTCTAATGCTGGTACAACTGCTGTCTAAAAATATGACAGTGTTGCAACACATTCTTGTCCTGAATACCTTCAAGTGTCAAAATCACACTTATTTGGATTATAATTCAGTGTCAGACTGCACTTTGCTTGATTCAACACCAAGGTAACAATCAACCATAGCAATTTGTTCAAATCAACAATGATTTCTGCCACTGTTTCAAAGGTATGTTTCATGCAGACATAATTCAAGCCACACCTGTTGTATTAACATGCACTCTGAAGGGAGTCAGTTTGGACCCCCCTGAGTCCTCAGAAATGTTTTCTGAACGTGCAGAGAAGCCAACCCCAAAGTTTGCATAGCTACAAACAATGGAGTAGTACATCATTTGTACCAAAAATTTAGATGCACCTTGTAAGGTAACTAACCTACACAATTCAACATCTTGTTTTTAGGAACATACTGCCTGGCATAACTTTTGCCACTTATTCAAATGCAAACTCAAAACAGTCTTTGGTCACTATCATATTCAGAAGATCAAGCAAGGCCACTGACCTTGTTTGAGATGACTCAATTCAGAGAAACTGAGTCAAGAACAGGTCCATTGGCCCTGGCAAAAACAAATTTTTGGCCACTGAAATGGTAACTAATATTTGTGGGTGATGAGTTAAGAGGAGAGCTGCATTACAGGCGATTTATCTCACAAAACATTCCCTGCAGTATTCCCAACAATTCATCTGTTGTTTCTCAATGTCAATGTGATCAATCATGATCAAAACATTTTGACAACTTCCTGAAGACCATCTCATGACAATTTAATCTTCTTATATCTGGCTTAGGCTTGGTTGTTGCTTTTAAGCAGCCACCTAGCAGGTGGTACAAGACAATTATGCCTTAAAACAAGAAAGGCAGCCAACAAATCTTGTAAAAAAGACTAATCATGCTTCCTACAGAGATAAAAATTATAATTTCAGAAACAGAGCATTGATACCCTAACACAAACATACCAAACACTGAAAACACTAAAGAAACAACAAACAACAATGGGCAACATGATGTGCTAGGCATATGCAGGACTTTGCTAAGTCCAAAGAAGAGCTGATCTGACTCAGTTTGGCTGTCAATGAAGCACACCTGGTAAAACCAAATACTTGATGTAATGTCATTAAGGCCAAAAACCTACAAACATCACCACCTGCATCTGGCTCACTGCTTCATCATCATGATCATGATAATATGACTGACTGCAGCTGAGCTGATGCATCCAGCAGCCATGCCTGAAGGTCTGCTAAGTGGGGATCACAGCTGCATTCCCCCAAATGGAAACTCCTGGCAACAGCTGCCAGACTGTTTTGACAGTCCTACTATCCCCATTGAAATAATTTCTTACCCCAGACCATGAGATAGATACCAAAACTAATAATGTTTTACTGTTTATGACATTTATAGCAACTGCACCAAAGGAAAGCCATGAACTAACAGAAAGCTGTACAAAAAGCATGCTTACACTAGAAAATCACCAATTTCCTCACACAGTCTCTCCCGATGTGCTAACAGGCCCGTATGTACAGTCAGGTATACTTGAATGCTTCTTGCTGCACTTCAAGAAAGTGTTTTACATTTACATGGCATTATGACTGAAACAACATTTAGAAGACAGTTAAGTGCAGTTCACAGCCTGCCCTTCTTAAGACCTAATGCCCCTCCATTTTCCCACCCACATGCCCCCCGAAGATGTGACCATTAATTCGGGGAGGCTATTTCAAGGTCATCCCCCCGTCTGTAGCACTATAATGACATCAATAAAATCCTGTCATTCCATGGGCCATGCAGCAGTCAGGGCCAAGAAAAATTGAAATACTGATTTATTCATATCTGATACTAAGGAGCACAATTTTCAGATATAGCAGATACCAATTGGCTCCCAATCAATGTTGTGTGCAGTGCAATGACATAATGAGATGTTGAGGAACATGTAAACTTAACAGAATAATTGTGTTGTCCAGTGCATTATTTTCTACATAAACTTGGGCCAATTATTACAAATAAGCTCATTTCATCATATTTGATGCATAAACATTTTCAAATACAGAATATTTCATTTAAAACAGGGATGAAATATAGCACAATTAGGCTAATTTAAGTCACCTGTGCTCACTATCCACATTTGCACTAAGACAAGCATCTCATATGAGCACACACAATTTTATATATACTATGCATGGCCTTGATAACTTAGCATACTGAGCTGGGATACACCACTAATTCTGCCACCAAAGGCTTGACCAGGCACTCAACATACAGTTTCAAAAACTACAGGTATACACATTCACCATCATGCATCGATTAAAGTGATTTAGTTTGAGGGGTATACTTGTGACAATACATGTGCAGCATCAAAATAAGATGGTCAACATAAGAACAGTGGGCACAGCATCCAGTTTGAGTGATATATTCACATTGGTCAACAATTTGATTTAATGGGGATGCATTGACCAAGTAACCCTGGCAATGCCAAAGCTGCAACAATGGAGTTAGCAGTATAATGTTTGCAGGAAAGCTACACCTAAACTTTCAGTGGTTAATACAAACTACATCAATGAAGCTAAATTTGTTCCAACCCAAACACATGCATTCATTGATTCTCTCACTATATTAAGGAATATTGGCTGACAGAGCCTCGCAGCAAATATTTTCGCTGGCTTCCAAATGCATCATGGCATATTAAAGTTGCAGATAGCAGGCTATACTTTTAAGAAAAAGGACTGCTACACCTTATTGCAAGGACCCCGCAAGGCATATTTGCACAGCTACAAACATCCAACGACATTTTCTCAGCTTTCCGCCACGAGAGGAGATTCTCACCTTCAGTTCATCTTGCATGCATCAGTACCCCTATGATCAGCAAGCGACAAATGCCCAAATAATATGCCTAGAACAATATTCCAGAACCGCTGGCAGTTTACGAAAGCCGCAAAAAGAGGTAACGATCAGTGACGCAGAAATGCGCCGTGACTGTCTCCTCATACCCAGTTTTCTTTTAATTTGTTGAGTGCTCTCAGTGATATTGAAATTAATCGCTCAAATACCCGTATCTCTTGCATTTAAAATAATAAATCTTGACTTTTTGGTTTAATCAAGCATAGTCTTTATAAGTATTTTCTAGAAAAATAGCTGCTGCTACCATAGTTTTTGGAGCTCTTGTAATGACGTCGTAGTTTGTTGACGTTTTCTGTACCAGCACCAAAACAAGCGCCAGCCAATCTGCGGGACGGGGCGCTCGCGGAGTGTTCGAGCTGGTAGATGGGATAAGGGATTCGCTTGTTAGAACATGCTGATGAAGCAAATAGGAAGGGTGAATTAGGTGACCGGTTGTGGATTACAGAAAATCTCGGCTGCGATTGTGGCCTCTCACATTGTTTGGGCATCCAGACTGTTCTGCTCGTCCTGCAACAGTTTGGTTTCACTGAAATAGGCTTGTACATAAACAGTATAGATAACCAACAATGAGTTCGACACCCCCCGAAAAATCCAGAGGAGGCTCTTGGAGGTAAGACTTTCTTGAACAGGGTGTATATGCTCAATGCCTGTGCTTGGAAGGTCTGGTATTTGGGAATATTTGGTGACAAGCTTTTGGGCTGCAGGCAGGCTGGTCATCTAAGGTTGATACCTACTTCCATTGTTCATAGAAAGGGAAGTATCAGTCCTTGCTTTGGAGACCAGTATTTGCTGCAGATAAGTGATGCACTTTGCCCATATATGCAAGTAGGTACAGTATGTTGGGTGAGCTTATTATCTTCATATTTGCTTGCTATTTATTTGTTTGACAGGTTGTGAACATGTAGCTGCTCAAGGGAAACCATGATGATGCAGTGTTGTTACTATATATCAAGGGTACATGTGGTTTTATCATGTTCCATATGGCTTTCCAAGCACCTTCCAGATGACTTTCCAGTCTATGACACATGGTACATACTACATGGTGTCAGCCTTTGAGATGGACTGAATGTCCCTTCATTGTTTTCTGAAGCTTTTTTAACAAATTTAGCTGCTGGTGACATGTTGTCATGTAGTTTGTTATCATGTAGTTTGCAAATCATATTAATGTGTGTTATATCTCAAGAGTACTTAACTTGCATAGAAAACTTAATATGGTTACTGAGTTATTTTGTTGTATGTGAGATGTTTGACATGCACCCTTGTTAGCTGGTTGTAAGGACATTTGCAAATATCACAGATTTAATGATGCATAAAATTGTCTCCTAAGTCTATGTTTTAATCTATTTCAATGGAAACTTGTGCAGAAGCATGTACAAAATGATGTTGTTAAATCTGCTTGCAAACAGCCAGGAGGATATTTATTTGTGTTGGTTCTGATATCATATTGCAATGATCTTGACTGTAGCTCCTCATGCTGCTCATTCATAGAGGCCTAGCTAGGCCAGTCCATGTCTGTGCAGTTGCAACCCTTCACTGACTGCCTATGGTGATGGTTGGTGCAGAGTCATGGGTGGACCTGACCTATCAGACGTCGTCGCCGCGGCGGGCCACGCCGCTGCCCCTGGGTGGCGAGGAGTACCTGCGCCTGCTGCGCGAGGCACAGCGTGAGAGCAACAACACATCAGCCCGCGGCTCGCTGGCCTCGTCCCCGACGTGACCTCGCCCAAGGACTGCATCTCGTGAGTGTCCATAGCCCGCCACCTGGGAATGCCACTGGCTCGCGCTGGCGGCTAGTGAGGGGAGCGCGCAGCAGCTCGCCCCCACGTGTCGCGAGGCCGAGGAGCTAACTGAGAAATCCTTGAGCACAGTTGATCGTCCTGCTTATTGTACATATCTGCTCTTTTTTCGAAACCTGTCCTCATTCTTGGTTCGCTTGGTATGTAAAATCGTGCCTGACTTCTCCAAAAGTTGATGAGAAGGCGTCTGTGGTCCAGTCGTCGCCTATGCTACCGTCGGTGGGGAGTCCGCTGTGCGTGGTCCCGCCATGGTCGGCCAGCGGCCGGTACCCGCCGTCGGTCGCTGATCGCCCCGGCCAACGATCTGGGCGGCGGGACAGCGCCTGCCAGGATCGGTGATTAGACCCGAGTTTTTGCCGTCCGTGGGCTCGGCAGCGGCCGCCGCGGACCTGGCAGCCATCGCTGCCCCGCTGTCTGGCCGCCTCCCGCCGGCACCGGGCTTTTTGTCGGGCGCGGGACAGGCCGTAGCTTTGAATTATTGCTCTCGACAGTACCATAACTGCCAATCGGACTCCGTACCGCACGCCGTCCGCTGAAGCAAGCTCTGTCCGCGCCGGCCGAATCGTGGCCATCGGTACCTGCCTGCCGGTGTCGATACATCGACATCGATGGGGCGGTAGCCCACAAACACCGACACCCTGTCGCTCCGCGGCCGGCCAGTGGGCGTCGGCCTGTATCTGGCGCCGGCGGGAAGCTGCTGCCGTCCATCAGCGCGCAGCGACTCCCGCCGGCTCGCCAGGCTGCCGCCACCGAAGTCGAGCTCGTGTAACCGGACACAGACCGTGACAAACACGGTGGCGTACAAAAACAGACACCAACGGAAAATACGCCCACTGTCACGGCACATACCGACCACGACAGCCAACCGCTCCACGGTGCTGAGCAGAACCCACGGCTTATTGGTCACGTCACGTGCCGCCTTTATTTGGTTGTGACGGAGCTCGCGTTTTTGTGGCCATTTTAGCAATGGTCGTCGGCTATATTTACCTCCACGCCGATTATCCCGGGGCACATGGTATCCCAGTATTTAACTGTATCAGCAAATATGTTCTTGTGGTGCCTTGCGTTCGTCGTGATGTACTTGCGCGAAAGGAGCGGGCTGGTTTCAGTTTTCAGAATGGCTGGCCTGTCCCGAACGTGCTTCGCTGTGCGAACTGACTGCATTGTTTCGGCACGCGGGCGGGTGATCGCCGCCTGGCGCACTGGTGCGGGGCAGTTGGTCAGCACGAATAACGATGCATTCGTAGCACGTCTGGGATGCGACCGGAAAGTATCCCGTGGAAATGTGCGGGCGGACGTGGTGAGGCGGCCGTGAGCACCTGTGGGTGTCAGCTGCTGTGAGATCGATAATGACGAGCCCAGTGCAGCGGTGCGGCTGGTGGAGCCGCCTCGGGGCGGTCAAGGGATCACGGTGCGCTCTGCGTCGTGCCGCCGTCGCCAGTGACGCTGAATAGCTTGTACAAGTCACACCCGGACCCGTGCTGGATTGGGCGAGATGGGATTGGCAACAAGTAATTGGGTGGAGTCGGGTACGTAGCTGACTGCAGCCTCGAACGCGCTGGCTCCGCGGGAATGTCCTCGGGTCCCCGGAACAGTTCGGCTGTGGCCGGCCTCGGCGATCACGTGACTTCGCCGGACGTCGAAGCGGATTACAGGCCGTTCAGCTGACCGCATCAGAGCGTACTGAACACCGGGACATACCCACGAACTCAGTCCTGTTCCGGGTCTTCATACCGAACGGGAGGATTCAGCTGGCGCGGTCGATGCGACGAGCAGAGGACTGGCAGGCTAAATGGCATTGAATCGAGGATTAACAAGCAGGCGTGAGGGGTCTGAATCAGCTGTGGGCAAGGAGCGCCTCTAGTTGTTCTACGATTTCTTTTTGCCATGACAATGGATTGCTGGAAACCAGCGCCCACCTTTCCAATACTAAGCTCCTGAATCATTGCCCGGCTGCACCAGGCACTGGGCGATCACTGCGACCGACCGCGCCATCAGCTACGTCATGGCAGAAGAAGGCGTTCGACTATCGACCTGACCGAAACCCTGCCATGCTATGTCAAGGCAGAAGAAGGCGTTCCACTGTCGACCTGACCGAGATCCTGCCATGCTATGTCACGGCAGGGCCGGTGTGAAACGGACCCGTTGCACTCGGCTACCGGATGCGACCGCTCGTGCGGTGCTGGGCCGACTCGCCATCGGAGCCATCGGTCAGAGGGTGTCAGGCTTTCCTGCCGAGGCCGCCCGTCTGGGTCCGTTCAGCGCGGCGGCTCAGTCCGCCCGCTAACCAGTCATGCCCGCCCTCGTGGCGTCACCGCCGGCCCCGGGCCGCCCGGCGGCGTTTACAAACATACCGCGACAGCGCCGCCGCTGCCGGGGCCGCGGCGCGGCGGGCGTGCCTGCGAGCACGCCCCGGCGTGCCCGCCGGCACGGCGCGGCATGCGGCGACCTCGCCGCGCGCCGCTGCTGCCGGTCGTTCACACCGGGCGGCCGCCGCGCAGTACGCGCCGGCGCGGCCGACGGAGCCGTTCGAGCGTTCGGTGGCGCCGCTTCTGCGCAGTTGCGGACGGCGTCCGGCGCGTCCGGGACCGGGGCCGGGGCCGGGGCCGGCAGCTGACTGGGCTGGGGGAGGGGTCGCCACCGGCGCTGCGTCTGACAGCGGGCCGCCGACCGGTCGCCGCCGCGCAGCGCCGGGTGCGGCTCGCAGCCGCTCCCCCCCCCCCCCCCCCCCCTCCCGCGCCGCTCTCGCTCCGTCAGCTGACCTCCAGCCGGCCGGCCACGCGGCCTCGGGCCGGGCCATGGGGCCGGGGCGCGGCCACGCGCCGTAACCCGCCGCGCGTCGTACGTCGCCGGCTGGCGCACGGTCCCCCGCCCGCCGTCACGCTCAAGGTCGCCCGGACCGAATGTAAACACAGCACGCCGGTACCGTCTCCGTGCCCCTGCGGTCACGGCCGGGTCGGGTCACGGGCTGGGGGCGACGGGGCTGGCTGCTGGTGTGGTAACAAAGGCTTTCTCTGCTGGGATTTGCATACAGTCCTCGTGAATGTTCACGGGTGCTCCTCCAGGATGGCGTGGCTTGAATATGGTGAATATCGATGGACTCTGCAACGGAAGTAGTGACTTGTCTTTGTGTTATCTTTAAGTTGGCGGTGAAACTGCCCGTGAATCATCGGCGGTGTTGACAGTGGTTTCCTTTTAGTTCAAGAGCGTTCGAAATTCTGTGTAGTTTCGCGCCTCTAACGCCTGCAGTCGGGATGCAAAAAGGCACTCGAGCAGGCGCCGCAAGTTTGCGAAGTGTTTACGTCGTCCATATGCAGCACGCACGCAACGTCCCCTCCACCACCAAGCATGCAGGCTCAAACCGTCGACGAAGCACTCAAGCATAAGACGACCGAGCTGCGCCGAACCATCCCAGCAGGCCGGCTATCGACTCCGGACGATGTGATGTTCTCGTCTGCCGTTCTTTGCTGTGCCCTTGCCAGGGTCGTCTCGCACGTTCCCCTCCGTTGCGAGTGGCGGTGCTGTACCCTGGAGTTCAGCCCGTGAGCCGGAGCTGTGTATAGTCCTTGTGCCCGCCCGGGTCCAGATCTGCTGTACCGTGTCGAATTCCTAGTTTGTGTGTTTGTGAATGGTTAAGGTTTGGTGCAGTGCACCTGTCCAAATCCAAGTCTGTTTGCGTACTTCTGACCAGGTCCGGGTCGGCGTGCCTGTGGAAGGCCGGGTCCGGATGCAGCTCCAGTGTTGTGCCTGCCCGTCCCCGAGAGAGCGGAAGCTGCTCGAACTTGAACCCTTGCCAGCTCTCGTACGATTTGCTTTGGCAGGGTTTTTGGTCTGAGTCGTGACGTCCTGGCGGTCTTGGCTCTGGCCATCTGGCTTCTTCGGTCTTCGGTCGTCGATCGGTTTGTTCGGTCTGGCATGTTGCTATTACAGCCAGTGCTGACGACTGAAGTTTTTTTTTTGTTTCTTGTGTTGCCTGGCAACGCCTTGTTTGCGTTTGCCTAGCCAGCTGTTGCTGGCTGAAGCGTTTCCTTCATGATGGTCTGCATCGCAAGCCAAGTTTGAAACGGCACACGTCATGTGCTGTTTTAGCCTGACAGCACGAATGTGAGGATGGATGGTGCGACTGCGGGCGGCGTGCGGCACGGCCTGAGGTCAGCCCCGCCGAGAGGTCACCCACACGCCCTCTCGGAGCGCGCGTCGGTGTAGTGGTCCGGGCACGGGCGGCGACAGTGGATCAGTGCCAGTCACGCATCTCGTCTGTGTACGACGCAATATCGGACGCCGGCGACCGGTCGGCGGATGCCACCTGTCTGTGGCTGCCACGGCTGCGTCTTGTGTCCCCCAATAATCGGGGATCTCCAGATAAACCCCTTGTAGTTACACCGAATACAGGTAGTATGTATCAATGTGACAGAATAACTTGAAGCTTCAGTGCAGTACCGATAGCAAGATTTCCTGAAATAATTACCAGGACGTCAGATGTATGTCTTGTTAAACGGATGTGACGATAGAGGCAAAGCATTAGCATTTGCTGCCGTGGACAATAACGTACTGGTTGATAGTTTCAAAGAATTCGCATACCATATGAATATGTCAGTTGGACTGGTTGGGAGTGCGAAAGCCGGTCACGAATACAGTTTGGCCCATTGGAATAATGTATGGCTGAGTAAGTATAGGATTCCCTGATTCCCATTGCACATTCGCATTTGTTTGCACACATTGACGGCTCAACAGTTCATCATTGTTAATTCTGGAGACTGGGCTTCCGATAAACCTTATCCGTGCCGTGTTGCCAAAGCTCATATCGCTTCGCCACAGTGGTGCTATATGAAATATTGACCTGCCAACCTCGATAGCACAAGCTGCATGAACTGACTGCCAGGCAGGCTTATTGCAAACACTGATTCGAATATCCCCGGCAGCGAATCACTTGTCGGTGTCAG